GAAAAACAAGGAACTCATGCAATATTATTCAAAATGGGTGATCTTGGAGGACATTATGCTGAGTGAAGTTATCTCAGTCACAAAAGGACAGATACTGCATGGTGCCACTGTTGTAAAACAGGACTGACATCGGGGTTGGGGGGAGACTGAGAAAGATGGGATGAATAATGTATACGGCACTGAAACAGATGAGGGAGAAAACTGTTTAAAAGGGATATATGATTGGGTATTTTTGTCATGAAAGGAGTCCAGAGCAAAGGCTGCACAGTGGAGTGGACCTGGGGGGAGTGATTATAAAACAATGAAAGAATTTTTCTTTTACTTTTCCAATAGGGGCGTGTACTGGGGTGGGGAGGGGAGAAAAGTGCAACAATGCATGAATGGAAACCCAAAGTCTCTGTAACTTTTCATTGAAATTAATAATAAAAAAAATTGAAAAAAAAGATCTGGTGTGAAATGTAACACATTAAAGGCATTTCCTTCATGTAAATATGTATTTACAAATATAAATATATATTCTATTTTTGTAACTAATGTTTCTAAAAGTAATCTAAAGAAATAAAATTAAGTAATTTTGGGGAAGGGCTCAGTAGCGAGTAAGTTAGTGTGTATGTGCATACATATTCAGGCAGGAAGAAGAATAACTTCAGTTTTAATTCTATCCATCCCTTCTGTTTAGCATTCTTATATATACTTTCTTGTTGTAGTTTGCCACACTTACACTAGTCATAAATTGTCATAATTTTCTATTTGACTGAACAGATCACAACAAATCATGGTCAATATTGAGAAAAATGGAAATCCCAGAACCCTACCTACACATGACTTGATGTCAACAGGTTATAGAACTGTAAACAGTAATTAATATTATTTGTTGTTAGTGCCTTTAATTATGCTCTATTTTAAGAAAATGGTTTGGGTTCGTATTAAAGCTCCACTAACATAACCAGATATATAACTAGTAATGTTAAAAGATTAGTGGGGAAAATATGGTATCAAGAGAGAGATTACTCCTTATGAAAGTTTAGCACAGGAGAGAAATATGTGACTAAATCGTTCAATAGATACATTAAAAAGGTGTTTTAAGGTTATAGAGACATATTCAAAATCTACTGTTGAGTAGAAGAAGAAAACAAACACTTAGAACAAAGTCAGGTCCTTTGGAAAGAACAGGGAACTGCAAACACTGAACAAAAGGCTGGCTTGTTATTGAAACAGATGAGGGAAAGAACAGATTAGAGGCAATATATGATTGAGTATTATGGTTAGCACAGGAGTACAGAAGTAAGGTTGCATAAAGAAGTGGCGGGGGGAGACTGTATACCAATGAAGTAATTTTTTTCCCTTTCTTTACAAAGAGAAGAGCAACCTGGTGGGGAGGGGTGGGCAGGGAGAAAAGTGAAGCAATGAATGAATGGAAATCCAAAATCTCTGTAAATATTTATTAAAATTCATTTAAAAAAATGGGGGGGGAGCAAAAGAGAGGAGTAAAAAAAAAGGCTGGCTTGTGAGCAGAGACATCTATTTCTCAGAAAAAAGAAACAGACAAGCAATATGACAAATATGTATACATGACTAATACGTAGATGAAAACCACAAGACAAATTAAAATTTGATCTATTTTTAGAAAGAAGATTATGGGTACTAGGGTAAAGATGAGGAAAACAGAAAAGTTTAAAGTGCAATTGAATTTAAAGACCAAAATTAATGTACTAGACACACATAATTGTGTTCTATTGGTAAAGTTCATAGGTGCTATAATATTAAAATACTGATCAAAGAAAACAAGTATGATATACATGTATTATTTAAATATAAGCTGGACTATTACAAAGATATTATATTTTCATTTTTAAAAAAAATTAATTTTTACATACCATTATCAGGAATTGGTTCCATGTCCCATGGGCTAAGTTTTTCAATTTCAGTATTGTCCCACCTAATATGCCAATAAGAAAAAGTCTGATAAATTTGTAAGAGGGGCAAAATAAGCAAGTAAGCATCACAAGACTAAACTAAAAGACAGAAAACATATAAATTAATCTGATTTGTAGAAGTGAGATTTTAAGTAAGAACACAAATTCATTTTTTCTAGTCATAATCCAAAGACTGTTTTTATTTTTTTGCAAGAAAAATGAGGAAATACTTGTCTCTGAATTAAGACTCTGACAATACTAGGTAAAGAAAAATATTAGGAAGTTACAGGAATAGTCCCATGGAAGAAAAATATTAGCAATTACAGCAAAAGGAACTCTCCAGAAACTGCTTAAAAGACTTTTCAGAGCTCAGACTAACATGACTTGGCAAAAGATTAAATCATGCTGTTTTTAACCTGAAATGTCTCATTCATATAACCTTCCGAATCAAACATTCGGTAGATGAGTAGTTTTTTTATACAAACCTAACAATGTAACACTGGAAATGACTATCAGGATATTGTGGTTGATATGGCTCTTGACTTAACACTGTTCCAAACCACCAGGCATCATCAATTATAGAACGAAATCTATCACCTAGAAGAGAAACGATTATCTCTGAGATATGTATTTGCTAACATTTACTGATAGGACTTTAGTAACATTTACAGACATTCATTAACACTTTATTTAATATAGTTGAAATAGAAATCAAAGCACATTTATGTATGAAAAACGCCCTATTTCTGTGCTACCTAGTCTTATAATAAAATACAAATAGCCCAGGATATAATTTAGAAAAGTTATACAGCCATAACCATAAATATGACAAAGTAAAATGGTTTATAAGTAGTTTAGTGTCCAGAAATCTACTCACAAATAAGTTGTATTACATTTTACAACATGAAGAACAAAACTTAACACAATCTATGACTCTTTTACATCACTGTACACTACTGGCATATACTTTTTTAACGTCAGTCTACTAAATATATAAATACCATACCATTTCCTGAAGAATAAAATTACAATGATTTCAAGTTATTACAATGTAAATCTCTCCATCTAGGACAATGTTTTCACGTATAAAAATCATATCATAAAAACCAAGACTAAAAAGTGTCCATATTATTTAAAAGAATTATATAAGAACCTAAATATCTCACAACCTCACTTCAAAACAAAAGCAGAAAAGCTGATGTTAGAAGGATTTCTAGACAAACCAAGAAAAATATGAAAAGAAAATGTCAACTAGCTTTTAGGTTATAGAGATTTCTAAATATATTCAATTATTCCATTATATTCAATTTAATGTACACCTCTATTAGAAAAGGGATGGCATTTTAGTATTTCATAGATTATTATAAAAGAAACATGGACAATTGTAGACCATTCAGCTTCCTTTGAATCATCACCCAAATTCTCTAAAACAAAACAAAAATCGTAATCTATTAGAAATCAACTACAAATAGGTTCTGACTCGAAGGGCATTAAGTTGAGTTGCTGCTCAGCGCACTAATGAGTCTCTGGTAAAGTAACAGTTGTTTCCTCAAAGAAAATACTACCAGTCAAAAATAAAGCTTCATTTTCTAACCTAGAAAAATAATACTTAAATAATAAGTACTTCATATTAAATATTATTATATTAAATAATAAAATACTTCATAAATGTTACTGACTAGATTCGCTTCCAATGAATTCTAACAAAGTTTGTAAATTTTTAAAAATCCAATACCAGAGCTATGAGTTACATATTTTCAGATCCTTATTTAAGCATGGTTTTCACTGATGAAAAGATACAATAGTCTTGACAAGAGTATGATCATAAGGCACTCTCATCTTGTTGCTAAGGAATCAAAACTGACTCATGGCTCTCCCTCTAGCAGGTTTCTAAAGACTATAACTAGCGCCAGAGGAAACTGCCTAACTTTCTCCCACAGAATCATTGGTAGATTTAAACTGCCAGAGAAGTGTCATCTTTAGGTTGTTGCAAAACAAAACTTCAATGTTAAAATGAAATGTTTCTAAATAAAGTATGAATGGCATAAACTAATGATATGAAAGAACATTATGATTTTGCCACAGCTATTAATATAAGGACCCTCTGATGTCATAGTCCATAAGAAATTCAAAGGCAGTTAAATTCTGGCAGCAAGTCCACCAGCAACTCTGAGGGAGAAAGATGTGCAATCTCCTCGCATGCAACTTACAATCTCTGAAAACCTGTTTATGGGTCAGCTATGTGTCAGTTTTAAATTTAAGACAAATACAACTGGCTGCAATCATATCATTTACTTCTCTGTTTTCCTTAAATTTGTTTGGTGATGGTGGTGTCTTGGCGCTGTTAAGTCACCTGTGACTCACAGAACCTTATGAAAAACAGCTCTGAAACCTGCCCCCATAAAAAATATTTCTTCAGCCCAAGACCAACACTTGACAAAATCAAAATGGACAAAGGCAACTTTTTGTAGCACACTGATCAAAGTGACAAGTAAGTGGAAAATATAAATTAAATTCATGTTTAATCTTCTGTACAGAAGACACAATAATTTCTCAGGGAAAAAAATAAATTCTCTTTATTACAAAGGATGATAAAGAATTCAGGTCTTCATAGGTTTGACTTCAGCTGTAAATTTCAGCTGTAAACAACTAAGATTTTGTAAAAAATTAAAAGATTGTTATTAATAATATTTCTCAGAAATAGAGTATTTATTTATCAGCAATATAAATCTATCTTCTCCATTCAGAAACTATAAAATAAAAGTTTCATTATGGGGCAGTGGGAGACCAGTCAGAATTAAAATGAGAGGATGTAACATGACTTGCCATGTTTGCCTCCATGTTAAATTAAGTACCTTTCAGCAGTGCTTCCAGAACTGAGATGGACTAGAAAAGAAGGTTTGGCAATCCACTTTTGGAAATGAAACCATAGAGATCACAACAATCCAATCCACATTTCATTCTATTATGCATGAGCTGCCATGACTGAGGTGTCAGATCAATCAATGGCAGCTAACACAACTCAATGGGGTTACAAACTGCACATGGAAAGCTCTAAAATTCTGTGGGGAACTGAGCTATATAACTTAATTCTCATATATTCCAACTCTTGTGGGCTTGTTGTTGTTGTTATTTGTTCGGGTCTATATGCTTTCTTCCCCTCAGGAGAAACTTCCTCTACTTCTAGTCTACAAATAATATCACTGCAAAGATTATTAAGAATATTCTATATGAAGCACTGCCATACTACATGAAAATCTTTCAAGTAGAGAGAATTTCTTTGTAATATATTTTAGAGGAAGGCAGCAATTTTATTCCTAAAGAAACGGCTTTCTTAAGTTATCAAATTTAACTCTGGGATAGCAGAAGCAAACTATTTTGGTATGCTAGAGGATTTTAAGGCTGGCATTTTCCATTATTATTCAACTCTGTAATTATTTTAGATCCTAGGATAGTTTTATATATTACGGCTCTGCTGCTTAATTAAACATCATTAAAGTATAGGTAAATATGAAAGAATAAAGTCTAATCTAATCAAAACATAATTATTCTATCATAGTAGATTATTCTATAATAGTAGAGAATGAAAACCAACACTATTCACTAAACAATAAGCAGGAAAATGTAGCAATTCTTAAACAAAATCTACTTAATATTTCTTATGAGAATTTACATTCTTAAGCATAATCAACAGTGCATCAATAATGTTTAAGCATATAAAAATCAACAGATAGAAACTTACAAGACTGCCAATTCCTCTGTCTTGCTTCATCATAAAACTGACGCAATACAAGAAAGTCAATAACATCTGGCATATCATGGTATCTAACAAAGAATAAAGATCATTAAATTCCCCATAGAGATTATAGTCTAGGGGCAATATTGTCCAAAAGGACAGTCACATAAGTAACTTATTATTTCATATTAGTAACATTTTATTTAATGTAAAATTTTCAATTGTTATTTTAATCAAAGTTTATAGAAAAGTTAGATTTTCATTCATTCATTGTACTTTTTACCACCTCCCCTAGTTTACTTATTTTTTTAAAAAAATATTCATGCATTACAGCACTGTTACAGTACCCTCCAGTACTCTTTGCAATGGACCTATAAGATATTCTGGGCTGTTGTCATATAGATATAAATGCCTCATCACGTAATCCTTTTAACAGTTCTTTCCTTCATCTGTTCCAGAACAGCTTTCATTACTTATCTCCTGTTTGCTTCGTTTTCTCGTATACCCTTAAGTCAGCCCTTTTTTGTAACAGTGGTGTTATGCAGTTATTTGTCCTTCTGTGACTGAGATATTTCACTCAGCATAATGTCCTCCAGGGTTACCCATATTGAGTAATATTTTTCGTTCCTTGTTTTTCAGTGTTGCACAGTATTCCATTGTGTGAATATACCATAGTTTTTCTACTTATTCGTTCATTCATTGAGGGGCACTTGGGTTGCTTCCATCTCTTTGCTATTGTGAACAATACAGCAATAAACATGAATGTGCATATATCTGTTTGGGTGGCAGTTCTGGCTTCTTTATGGAACATTTCCAATATTGGAATTGCTGGACCAAGTGGTTATTTCCACTTCAAACTTTTTGAGAAAGCACCAGCCCATGTTCCATACTAGCTGCATCATTTTATATTTTCACCAGCAGTGAATAAAAAGGTTCTAATCTCTCCACAACCGCGCAAGCATTTGTTTTCTGATGCTCACTGAACTTTGCTATTGTAACTGGAGATGATGTCTCACAGTTGTTTCTATTTGCATTTCTCTGAAAGCCAGGGATTTTAAATATTTCTTCATGTTTGCCATCTGAATGTCATCTTTGGTCAAGGGTCTATTTATACCCTGTGCCCAACTTGGAACTGGGTTGTTCATTTTTTCTTGTTGAGGTGTTGGAGTTTTATATACATTTTAAATGAGTCCCTTATCAGATGTCATTAGCAAATATTTTTTCCCAGTCTGTGGCTTTCCTTTTTACTCTGTTGGACAAGTTTTTTTGTGTGCATAAGGATTTGATTCTTAAAAGGTCCCATTCACCTATTTTCTCTTGACTGTAGGTTATTAAGTTGCATTTTAAAAAAGCAGAAAACCAGATCTTTGTAAACTTAATCTTTGCTGGGAAATCTGTAAGGACAGCAGAGGCAGTTCCAGGCTGGGGCTTGCGACCCAGCCTTCCTGTCTGCTACAACTGCAGGTCCCAACTACAGTTCCCAGAGGTCTGTGGGGAAACGCCATCTTTGTAAACTTGGACTTCACTGGGAGATCTGCAAAGGACGGCAGAGGCAGTTCCAGGCCGGGGCTTGTGACCCAGACACCCCACAACCATTTAGGCCCAAGGGCAGAATATGCCACATCTATAAGATTTATCAACTGCCCCTAAAATACTCATGAACCATAGAGGATTAAGTTACGTGGGGAATCAAACTGGCCTGAGTACATAGGGCCCACCAACTCAAACAATAGGAAGATCCTGAGCATCTCCAAAGAGTGGTGAAGCTATTCCAGAAAGGGAAAAACAGACTTCCTCCTTCATTATTTAGGTTCTCCTGAGGCCCTCCCAACGTGCATTGCGCTTCCTCCCTCCCCACTCACGTGAGCGTTGGAGTGTGCACGCATCCTCTACGCATTTACTCTTGTTTCTGCCCACCCTCCTTCTGGAGCAGTGACGTCAAATCAAAAACCAGCTACCACCTCAGACACGAAGAACTTACCACACCAATGGCCCGTAGAAAGCAGAGTGCTTCACTTGTCCCACCAGCCCAAAGCAAGATATCAACCCCCAAAGAAGACACAGTAGCAACGGATTTCCTGGAGCCAGAAAGCCTGATGGATCTTTCTGATACTGATTTAAAAGAACAATGATTGAATATTTTCAATGGATAAAAAAGAAACCGGATGAAATGTAGAACAGTGCTAGCAAAGATAAGGAGGAGCTCAAAAAAACAATCCAAAACGACTCAGAGAAAACAAATGAAACATTAGAGGCATTGGAAAAACAAGAAACTGTGATCCAGAATTTGAAATCTAAGGTTTCTGATGCTGTCAACATGATGGAGGGACATACGAATAGAGGAGAAGAGATGGAAAACAGAATCCGTAAAATAGAAGATAGAATTGTCACCAGAGATCTGACTGAGAAAACAGCAGAATCCAAAAAGAAGTAAACAAAAGAAAGCTTGAGAATAATGTGGGATACCATCAAAAGAAATAACACCCGCATCATAGGAATCCCAGAA